GAGTTATGCTCGATTTTTTGCCGATTTTTGACACACCACGCCAAAAAGGTTGCCCATCACTGTCCTAGAGGCTATCCATGCCCTTTTTTAAACAAAAAATGGGCCCGTTTTTGCAAAAAACAGTCTGTTTTTTGCTCGTTCCCCCCCCAGCGCTCTGTAAGCCCACTAAAGACTATTCATGCCTTTTTTTGAGAAAAAACGGGCCCGTTTTTGCAAAAAACGAGCCGTTTTTTTGAGGTTTGCAGAGTGCAAAAACTTTTTTTTTTAATTTGCCTCTTCAAAATCTTGTTGCGTCTTATACTCCGGTGCATCCTATACTCCGAAAAATACGGTAGTGATTCATCTAAAGGCAGCACTAGCTTGATGATTGATTATTCGCCAAGTATTCAATAACTATTGTTTCACACAATGCTGGAAAGGACCATTCTATGACCCAACTTTGCTCAGGTCTTCAACAAGTATAGAAAATCTCCACCAGGGGATTCCTAGCTTCTAACTTTTAACATTTGCACAAAACCAGATGCAAAATTCAGATGTTCCGCGTTGTCCTTGGTTAGCATCTAGCCTCATCTTTCCTATTTCTCTCTCCCCACCCCCCAAAAAATCAATATTTCTATTTTGCTGGTTTAGAAAAATCAAGCAGGAGACTTGTCGAGATCGCACAAATTTGAAAGTGTCAAGAAAAGCATCCCTAAGACAATCAGCTCCTTCTTTGGAAGAAGCTGCAACAATGGACAGAAAAGCCACAGCTAGCATTTTTGGGTCCAAGGACTGCACAGGAAGCTGGCTGGTGGAAGCTTTGTAGGGTGAGGGTGGGCATCCCCACAATCAGCGTCCTTCAGAACTTGTTCTTTCTCTTCAGAACTATTTTCACTGGTTCCTTTGACTGACCTTTACTTAAAATTCATGTCACCGGGGCTTGAATCCAGCGGCATTAAAGCATGCCTAGAAATGATTTGTTGGTCAAGAACATCTTGGAAATCCAAGGGATCACAGCTACTTCCCAACCAACTTGCTTCTTATTGCAATACGGGTGACTGTTCTGACCCCCCTCGTCCCACACCAACACACTCTGAGCCAAAGATAAGTTACGGCATTTAATTAACAGACAGACAGGTCCTTGGCAGTAAACCGGCACAGATAAGCCGTGGCAGCAATCCAGCCTGATAAGCCGTGGCAGTAATCCAGCCTACCAAGCTCATAATAATGTTCTCCAACATTAGTTCCTGCGT